GTTTGGGAGAGGGTGGTGGAGAGGAGAGTGAGAAAGAGTGTGTCTATTTCTGAGAATCAATTCGGATTCATGCCGGGGTGGTCGACTACATAAGCCATTCATCCGGTGAGGAGGTGGTTGGAGTAGTATAGGGAGAGAAAGAAAGATTTGCTTATGGTGTTTATTGACTTAAAAAGCCTACGATAAAGTCCCAAGGGAGGTTTTATGGAGATGTCTGGAGTTTAGCGGTGTTCCGGTAGCGTACATTAGGGTGATTAAGGGCATGTACGGTAGAGCTAAGACTCAGGTGACGACTGTGAGAGGAGACTCGGATTATTTTTCAGTGGTATCAAGGATCAACTTTTAGTCCCTTTTTATTTACCCTAGTGATAGATGTGTTGACGCGACACATTCAAGGAGATATTCCATGGTGTATGTTATTTGCAGATGAGATAGTGCTGATTGACGAGACGCGTTGCAGGGTTAATACTAGGCTGGAGGTGTAGAGACAGACCCTGGAGTCTAAAAGTTTCAAGTCGAACAGGACGAAGATAAAATACTTGCAATGTAAGCTCAATGTTAGGGCACATGAAGAAGAAATGGACGTGAAGCTTGATACACAAGTCATCCCTAAGAGAGAGTTTTAAATATCTAGGGTCTGTAATACAGGGTAACAGGAAAATCGACGAGGATGTTGCACATCGTATTGAAGCGGGGTGGATAAAATGGTCTCGCTTCTGGTGTTTTGTGTGACAAGAATGTGTCACCTAGACTTAAATGCAAGTTTTTCAAAGCGGTAGTTAGACCCGAGTGTTGGCCAGTTAAGAAATCTTATGTCCAGAAGATGAAAGTAGCGAAAATGAGGATGTTGAGATAAATGTGTGGGCATACCAGGAGAGATAAGATTAGGACTGAATACATTAGGAACATGGTGAGGGTGGCTCCTGTGGAAGATAAGTTGAGGGAATCGAGGTTGAGATGGTTCTGATGTTCCGGTTAGGAGGTGTGAGAGGTTGACCATGACGGGTCAGAGGAGGGGTAGAGGGAGGCCTAAAAAGTATTGGGTGAGGTGATTAAGTAGGAGATGGCTCTACTTCAGCTTATCGATGACATGACCCTCGATAGGAGGGTGTGGAGATCAAGAATTAGGGTTGTGGGTTGACAAGTAGTCTATAGTTTCGCCTAGTCTTTCCAATAGTATTAGTACTAGTCTTGTATTTTCCTATTCCTTGCCCCTTGCTATTATAAGATGTGTCATTATTTTCAGTAAGATTGGCTCTATTCTTGTAGTGTCGTATTCTTCGATCTTTGTTATTGCACATTGCACCATTTGCTTCCGTGGCTTATTACCTTATTGCTATTTTCTGTATATTGCTTTATTTTCACTGTTCTTGAGCCGAGAGTCTCTCTGAAATAACCTCTCTACCGTCCTAAGGTAGGGGTAAGGTCTGCGTACACTTAACCCTTACCAGACCCCACTTGTGAGATTTCACTGATTTTTTTGTTGTTAAAATTGCCCATAAACTAATAGTGTGGGTTTTAGGGAACAAGAAAAGAGCAATCATAAAACAAATCCGATAGTATAAGGAGTACTTATTTTATTTTATTATTTATTCTTTTATCTACAAGAATGACTGTTCATTTCAATTTGAAATTGTAATTTCAGAATACTACTAAGTTTAGGAAAATATGTAGGATAATTGCCCAAATTATCGTAGCAAATGTGGCATTAATATTGAATTATTCTCATTGTCCTCCCCATCATGTATTTCTAAATGCTAAAGGTGGTTCGTTTGTTTCTAAGGTTGAAAAATCATAGAAAGAGAAGTATATGCACATTTTACAGGTCTCTCAAGGAAAAAGTAAAATAATAAGAATATAAATTAACTGATATAATCAGGCAAAACTAGTTCCTAATATTTTCATACCCAGCAATGACGATAATGTTCGACATGTAGATAAAAAAATTTGGGACAAAAGAAAATCTCAAATTGCTTCGTCTCACCTTTTCTTCTATCAGAAGTCAAAATTTCAACAGGTAATCAACCTTTTTTAAAGCATATGTCACACCCTTTTTTTCACCCTGCAAAATTATTTATGCGTATAAGTTGAAGGGTTTTTTCAATTAAAGTGATAAATTTGAGTAGTGATTATTTTATTTACAAAGTCACCACTTAGAATTGAGTTTTGGTTTTCCAAAGTCACATTTTATTTGAATCTCTAGTCAAAAGAAGGTTTGACTCTATTAATTGTTCGTCCGCGTAGACAGAGACCGGATAAGAAATTCTGTTGACCGAGGAGAAGGTGTAGGATATTCCTCGAATTCCGCAATTCTAGCATTATCGCTTTTATTGACTAAAACTTGGCGTAAATTAGTTCTTGGATATTCTTGTATTTATCACCTATTATCGCATAATTGTTGACTGTGTTTTATTAATTGATTTTACCTATGAGTGTGTAATCACAAGATTTTTTTAATTTATTTGTATTAAATGTACTAAACCAAAGAACGTGTCGTTACACATGGTTTAAATACGATTAGTTATTGAGGGGCATAATTTATTATTGAAGTGTCAAGAAGCAGCAATGCATCATAACCTCTTTTATTAATTAAAACGTTGACCTTATCGTGCATGACCACATGGTCAATGTTTGAAGTGCGCCTAAGATTGCCTATCGGTTAGTTATTTATTAAAAATAATTAAGTTATTAAAATATTTAAAAGAGAAAAATCAACTTTTATTTTATCTATTTGACAAACTCTGTTTTTCATCATTTGGGCCAACTTTTCTTATTATTAAAGATGGATCAGATTGACTTATTGGCTTTGGGCCAATTTGCTTATTTGCTGTGGCATTGGGCCTGCAGTTACGTGAAAGGAATGGCAAAAATATTGGGGGATTTGTAGTTTTACCCTATATTTGTGTCACCTTTTAACTTATACCCTATTTTTAAAAATTATTAATTTGGTAGCCAACTGACAATTACACCTCTGACAAAAGATATAAAACCTGCATCACGCATTAATCATGTGATCTGCAACCTCATTCGTGAAAAAAGATATCCTCTCTTCTCAGCAACTTTATCAAAAAACCATAAACTTGTCTAGATTCATCGTCAGAATCACACTTGCATGAAACTGTTTCACCTTGAAGCTAAAACTTCATGCTAATGTAGCATGAAGTTGTTTCATGTTGAAGTTAAAAACTTCGTGCTAGTGTAGCATGCAGTTGTTTGACACTGAAGCTAAAACTTCATACTAATGCATGCTGAAGTTATTTATCCTGCAATCTACAATTTTTTCATGAGTTTTATCCGAAACATAAGTCTAAACATGTTGAAATTATTTAGTTTATTTGCTAAAANATATATATAAAGTTTGGGGTTAAAATAAAGTTGTGGGAGGGGGGGTTAAATGGCTATTTTGGCAGGTAAAATGATCATATTTTAAATGCCATAACGGCTATAATGTAGCATATTTTTTTTTAAAAAAAGCCGTTGGGCCGGATAAGCCCGTTTAGGACTGCTTGAACCGGCTCACTTCCCAGCTGGTCCCGGTCTCGCTGGCCTCGCCTATGGGACCGACCCACTACTCAGCCCACCTCCCCACAATTTCGGTCTTATCCGGTTAGGACCGTTTAGGCCCACCGCCCATTTGGGCTTGCGGTCCTGGGCCGGGCCCGATCCTAACCGGCCCACATGCCACCTTTAGTTTTTGCTAATGCATGCTGAAGTTATTTAGTTCATTTGCTAAAATTTCATACCAAAACATGCTGAAGTTTTGTCATGCAGTCTACAGTTGTCATGAATTTTATCTGAAATTTCAGTCTAAATAATCTGAAGTTTTTTAGTTCATTTGCTAAAACTTCAGACTAAACATGCTTAAGTTTGTGTCTTGCAGTATATAATTTTCTAATTAGTTTTCACTATGTTCTCTTTTGCGACAAAAGGAATCGCATTTGCGATGAAGTGTAATGTTGGGGCAGCTTCGTATTTGCGAAGCTAAGCTCGTATCTATGATGAGTGGGTAGTTCGCATTTGCGAGATATTGGTCGCATTTGCGACCACTGGCCGTCTGATGCACTGGTCACATTTGCGATCAGTGTGTTGCATATGCAGACTTTACATTTGCGAACAATTATTTCGCAATTGCGATACCTGCAACTGGGTTAAAGAGAGGAAAATCGTGACTTAGGTCATTCAACTCTATTTTCAACTCCAAATACTCTAGAGGCGATTTTTGAAGAACTTTTTCTTTCCAAATTCATTGATAATTAACTCTAATTCATTTTCTATTAATTCTTCATTACTTTTCATGAGTTTTTAACATCAAATCTAGGAATTTCATGGTAGAAATTAGGGATTTTGTAGAATTTAGGGATTTTATAAAATTGAGATTTAGATCTCAAATTGAGGTCGAATTTTGAAATAAATCACATAATGAGGCTCGAGGATAAATGGATAAACGGATTTTGGTCCGGATCTCGAATTTTGACCAAGCGGGCTCCGGGTTAACTTTTATCGACTTTTTAAATTTCATCAAAGATTGAACCTTTTTCATTCGTGTGTAGTTTCTAAATCTTTTTTTGAATTGTTTGAACGATATTTGGCTAGATTTGGTTGGTTTAGGGGCTTGTTCGAAAGGAAAAACCGTGGTTGATTGTTGAGTTGGTTGCGCAAAGAGGTAAGTGTCGTGTCCAACTTTGACTTGAGAGAATTAGGACTTGTTGTTCTATTTGTTATGTGAATCATGCGGGGAAACAACGTATATGCGAGGTGACGATGTATATACGCTGTCACGGGTTAAAGAATGCGAGTTTGGCTTTTTACCTTTTTGTCATCACTTATTCCATGTTATTCCTACTTCTTAATAAGAGGGAATACATGCACCTCATGGTCAACATGAGTACTTCCTTAGAATTAAAAGTTTATCTGAGGGTAATTATGTCATTTCATGTGTATCCAGCTCATTGCTGGCTCTGTGTAGCCCGACACGTGGAGATCCGTCATCTCCACATCTACGAAAAGTAAAGCCATCTCCAGAAGACTTGCTCTCTCTCCGTGCTCATGTTCTTAATTTTGTATTTCAATGGTTTTTCCTCTGTCAGGTATTCTCTTCTAGCCCCTCTTTTATTCATCTTTATTTGTATTTCTCGTGAGTATCAACTGCTTTTGTTCTCTAGGTGTTTGACAAATATCCTTGCAATTTCTGGCAAGTTACAGCTGGATAACTTGTATATGGCATACTCTTGAAATAAATTTCTTGTGTGTAAGATATTCAAGTACACTCAATAGGAAATTTACAGTAAGACTGGGACGACGAGGATTTATGTACTAATATGATGGTATCCCTCGACTGCGTTTCTGAAATGTCTTTTATGGCTTCAACTTGCTACGACTTGATTTAATTAGCTTTCACGTATACTCATTTTAACATCTTTGCTCTTTTAATTATATGGCTGAACCATTTTGCCATCACTAGTTAACATTAATTATTTTATTTAGAGATAGTATGATGAACTTGATTACTTGAATAGGAAAGAAAAACTTACAGTATAAATTTTGGGGCAGTTAAATATATTAGTACTTTTTCCTTGTAACATTTTTGTCGTGCACTTTGAGATCTGCTGGTTGCATGTTTTTGAAGCTTTGCCTTCTACATTTTGGCAACTAATTTTTCTTGGAGCTCATAAGTTTTACAAATTACTTGGTTACTCATGGAGGGAAAATTACACTGATGAGTGATGGGAACTCGCATGTAGAACAGCGGTTTCTCACTGTGAATGGTTAAGCTATGAGATTGTGGTTTCATGAGACTTTGCACATTTCGTTGATACAGAAAGCGTCAATGAAACAGTGTTAAAAGCAAAGCTGCATTTTTGCTTAAACATTTGAAGAACATGTTGCGTAAAAATCCCCATAGGCATGATTACTAAGTACAAATAGTTAGAACATATGATAGTGTTCTACTGCTCTTTGTGATTCTGATTTACTTCTGATTTACTGCTCTTTGTGATTCTGCCACAGATTTACAACTTTTTCCATGCTTGCCTCAACTGTATTTCTCAACATTCTGATAGTTTCCAGTAGAATAAAAGATATACTATATTTTGACAAAGTATTCATGCATTATTAAATTTGGTGTGTAAGTTTAAGACATTAGGGAAATAACAGTCTAATTATGGTACCTATTACTTTCATATATGTTGTCATTTGAAAGTTTTACAACTTTAGCTTCAGTCTTTCACTTTAACCGCTGCCCTGGACTCACCCGACGAGAATGATCCAAACACCCATTTATTCATCTTTTTAAATGATAGTGTGTTTTACATGGAATAACTTTGTCATAGCCCTGTATTGAATTCATCTACCTTTCCAATGTTGTAGAATAAACAGCAAACGCTCCTGCTTAAAGTCTACTGAGGTAATTTTTTGCTTGATTTTTGTGAACTATTTGAAATGCAGATGTCTCACAGTAATAAGTTTGTGAAGGAATGTCTTCTGACCGAACGAACAAACATATACAGAAGATACAAATGAGGAATACTTGGTGGAAAAGTTGATTGCAGAAGCATCTGAAGGAGAAAATTGTTGTGCTATTATATTCACTGACGTCTGGTAATTGCCACAGTCCTTATAAAAAATTATAATCACTGACATCCCTGCTGGTGCTAAAACATGTGAACTTTAGAGGAAAACATGTGAACTTGTAGCTAAATTGTTTTCGGGGTTAACAGCACTGCACAAATATGACATTCCTCAACAAACACAAAGCACTTGCAGCAAATTAAAATGCATGTATAGCCCATCAAAGAAAAAAAGCCTTCAACAGTTTACGGTAAAGTGTTATTCACGAAATCAATCTTTTAACATTCTAATCAGAAAAGTTATAGAAACTATGTACAACAGATAAAATGGAATTGCATATTTAAACAACAAATTGAACCTTGCTGCGTTTTTATATGTCAAAACTTGCTAGATTCTAAACCTGTTAAGGTTTCTCTCTTTTTGATTGAATAGTAAAAATGGATATTTGTTTGTCGTAAATTCTCTTTATATAGAAAAAACTATTGTTGCTGTTAGACTGTGGGTAGCTTTGATATTTTTTGATTCATCTCTAAATTAACCCCTAATAATTCACAGCAACGCTGCAATGATCACATTTACCGGGCAGTCTGCTGATGCATTTATGACCATAATAGCTGGTGAATTGGTATATTCCATTTCATTTTCCTTGTACTCTAAACCGAAAATGTCATATATGCTATGCAACATGTGCTACATCTAACATCTGTATGGTCATGAAGAATAACAACTACTATCTTTCATATTTTATTTCTTGTGCAACCGTCAGTTGAACCTTAATATTCTGTGCTACACATCAAATGTACAGGTGGTCTATCAAAACCTTACTTAAACATAATGTTTACCTACACATTAAAGTAATTAATCCATGCTTACATCAAATGTGTTTTCTTTTTTGCTTCTTCTGAATTATCAACATGATCCAGAAGTGTTTTGACTAAAAACTGATTCTTACAATTATGTCTTCTAATTATATATTGGCTACATTTATTTCACTGTTGCTAGAGTTGATTTGACATAGTTTATCATCTTTGTTGATAGCAATTCTAACTGTTGCTATCTTGCACAAATCCATATCAGCAGGTACTGCTGGAAGACCATATGACTTTGGCATTATGGCTTCTGTATTTGTTGGTTTGTATATCCAAAGCATTTTACTGTGTTGAAATAACAAAATATTAGAAATAAACGGCTTATAAAGAGTAACATTTCTGTGGTAACTCTATAATTTTCTATTTCTCTTTTGGACACAAGCTCATTCCTTACGGATATTGTCACTATACCTCAATTTCTAATAGCAAAGCTTTGTTCACGTTGGGCCCGGGCAAAGCCCGGGCTACCCTTACTAGTTTTATAAGGCGACTTGTCGAATTTTAATCTCACTAAAACAAGTGTGCAGTTTGCAACCAACCACGTGAATAATGTGAGAAATATGTGCTCTGCAAATTACTGCTACTAAATTGATCACTCGTCTCTTGTTATATGCTTTGGTTGCTACTTGATCTTGCTTGTTATCCATGCCTTGTTATCTATTATTTAAATTTTCACTTGTTTGGTTTATTTATTTCTCGCTCAATATCTATTTACCTACTATATGTTACTACCTGAATTAATTGTATAACTTTATTGTTTCATGTGTTACTTGCCTTTATTGTCTTTACATTACTTGTTACACTTTATTTCAAATTTTGTGAGTTTTTTAGCTATTCTTGTATTGGTAATTTGTAGAGAAATATGGATACGAGGTATTGGTTACCTTCGTTTGTATTGGTAGTTCATTGATGTTCTGTACACTTTATTTTCCTTTCGTGTTGAGATTCCATTATTGGTTGTGTTGAGTTGCTTAGGTGTATGTGTTGATATTAGGAATGGGTTGCGCTCTGCAATAGTATTGAAATGAATTTAGATATCGGGGTAGGGTTGCATGATAAGTAGATATTTTGACCGATTATTTGCTCTCTTTTAACTGCGATTTAGCTCAAAAATACTTAAATGTATTCCCGGAAACTAACAAAATGTGCTTACTTGCAGAAAAATTGGAAAGAAGTCAAAATCAACACATAAAGGAGTCAAAAGTGAACAAGAACCAAAACAGGGCAAAAAGGTCAGTAGTGCGCACCGCACAATTCTAGTGCGGGGCGCAGAGAGGAGATTCAAAAATAGTATTTGGGCAAGCTGAAGGAGTGCGGACCGCACCAAAATTGTGCGGCCGCACTCACTATTATGCCGTCCGCAAGAGTGAAAAATCAGAGAGTTGGATTCAAGTTTAAAGTCAAGGATTGCGGACCGCATCATTTTTATGCTGTCGCACAATCAGAAGTGCGGCCGCACTCGTTTTTATGCGGACCGCAGATGCCCCGAAGTTCCAAGCCCAAAATTTCAAGAATGCGGACCGCACAATAATTGTGCTGCCGCAGAAGCTCAATGTGTCACGATCCAAAATCCGTTAAAGGTCGTGATGGCGCCGGACACCACTGTCGGGCAAGCCAACACTAAATAATTAATTAAATTCTCATTTTAATATTTTTGAAATCATAAATTTTACTTCAATTTATCTAGTAAAAGATGAATTTAAAGAATAGATAACAATATTTTTCAATTCCAATACTGAACATCCCATAATCATCCCAGAATCCGGTGTCATAAGTGCATGAGCATTTTTAAGAATTTAAAATAAAATACAATAACTGTCCGAAATACAAATTTGGACCGGAAAGAAAATACAATACTCTGAAGGAGACTCTGCTGGCTGCTGGTCGTACATAAGATGCATCTCACCTAAGTCACCGTAATAATCGCGCCTCCGTTCCCACAAGGTCACTAGTCATATATTTACCTGTACAAAATGTGCAGTAAGTGTAGTATGAGTACNTGCAGCACGACATGCAGCGTCCACAAATAAAAAAGGACGTCAGTACGAATAAAGTACTGAGTATCTAAGGCAGGAAAGCATAGGTAAGAACAATATTGTAAACAAGGATAGAGAATATACAACCTGTGATATCTGGGTACCTGTAAGGACTACTGACATGAAATACATGATACATACATATATATGCATAAACTTTTAAAACATACATCTTTGTGGGCATCATCATCATCATAGCGTACCCGGCCGTAATAGGCTCGGTAAAACGTACCCGGCCATCATAGGGCTCGGTAGAATCGTACCCGGCCACATGGAGCTCGGTAAAACCCAACTGATCAGTGGTTGCACAATAGGTGCCGTACCCGGCCGACTATAGCGCGGCTCGGTAGAGTGAAATAGATACATATATATGATGCATTCTGGACCCATTGGAATCACATTTTGAACCTTTCGGAGTGACATAAGGTCGGTATCCTTCGTACACGTTAT